AGAATCAATTGCTAGGTCCATTGCTAGGAAAGTTGGTTCAATGTGTTGTGCTAGACAATTTTTTTTTCCTGAAAAAACATATTTACATATTTATAAATCTCGTCAATGCTTTGAATATTGATGCCACATCTAATCTGGTGCTCCTACTATATATTTAGGGATTCTTTTTAAAATCTAAAGAAAAATCTGCAATTTCATCTGTCCTGACCTGGCATCTCTATCTCAGACCCTTTCCCATCTCCCCTGTGCCTTTTCTATAAATATTTTCAGGGTAATTGTTTCGGTTGAACTTTCCCCTTTGGTACCTAAACCTTAGGAATTTAAGCGCAGTACTAGATTGGCAGCTAGGTCTCATCATTTTACAGTTGAAATGGCGAGATGCAACCGTAAGTCCTATGCTAACAGTTTCTTTTCTCACACTTCTCTCCGTTTCTTCCGGCTTCTTCCATTCCAATCAACTTAGATTTTCAAAAATGTCTTTCTCCCTCAAGGTCTTTTTTCCGTACTGGGGAAATCCCGAGACTATCCTTAAAAAAAACTAAACATTTTCTTTTATAGCAACTCTCATTACTACCCGAAGGAATTTAATTTAAACGTTATTTTTTTTTTTGTTTTTTTAAATACTGTAATTATGTGATAATTCTTTTTCAAGTAAACAAAATTCTTTTAATTTACTTATGTAATTTATCCATTTTTAGAATTTGGGAAATTATGGTTTTCTACAGAAAAATTATGAACGTAAAAAAACGAATGAACTGCTTTAGATATTTGAATGTTTTTTCGTCGTAAAATGAGTTTTTTTAGTAAATTTCTGGTAATACACACTTCGGGGGCATATCAATAAATGCGTTGACTGACACGGACTTAGCGACAGAAATTTAATTTTAAATTTTACCTGGTATAATGCCTGATCATTTTGAAGAATAAGTGCATTGACAAGAAATGGTTTTGAAAAGAATGTTTGTTGCATAAAATAAATGAATGTACATACAATGGTAGATGAAGTACCACTAAAATGGATGTATTTTTCCCGAAATGAAAGCAAAAATGACTCCTCTGTTTTTATAAATTTGTAAAAATCACGGAATTTTCCGATTTAAACGAAATTTTCAGTAGTTATTTAATAATGAATGAATTATATACAAAACTATGGATTATTTTTAGAAAATTTGTGGAAATATTTTTTAAGGTTAGTTTCACCCGCCTTTTCGATATCTCTCGTGTACCTTTTAATTGAGGGCCGATTTTTTACTTTTTGTCGATTTTCTTAATTGGGGAGTGATGATATTTTTTTTTTTTTTTTTTTTTTGGACTGTTATGAAGAAAAAAAACCTAAAGTTATTTTTTATCCAATATCAAGTAAAGAAGAACATACAGAAAATCCGCCCTGAACCTTCTTAAAAATAATTCAATAAAACTCAAAAATTTTTTTGGGAGTTGGTTAGTTTATAATTTTAAAAAGTTGTATTTCTTTTCAGATTAGGCAAGGAAAAAATTATACAAAATATTTTTTTTTTTAAATTACTTGCAATTTTTCAATGTTATTTTGAAATTCATCCTGTTTCTGTTCGTAACTATTATTTAAAAAAAATTCTCAATAAATAAAGATATCCTTGAAGAATCGAAAAATGTAATGTTTAATGGCATTTTCGAGTGTGAACCTTTTTAAAGTGTTTTTTTCATTTTTGCAAATGTTAGATTATTTTTTCTATGGATGTTCAAAAAGGAACTAATTTCAAGTTAGCGCATTTGACTGACTACTCTTTACTATCGGAAGTTTAATATAATATATGATAATCCACTTACACATAAATTCAGAATAGTTAAAAGAAATATCTTATTGAGTACCATTAAATATTTTTTTACATCAAAAATGTAAAAAAAAAAAAAATTAAAAAAAAAACAAGAAAGGATTAAGCTTAAAATTATAATTTTACTAGAGTCTTAAATTAATTTCTTTTTTATATTTCTAAAGTAGTATAAAGTTAAATTATTCATTCTGCTAAGTTTCATAAAGTCTATAGATTAAACAATTATATAGTTAAACTTTTGGTGAAGGTTAAATATCATTTATTCTTAAGCATAAATACTAATTTATTGATTATTGCACTGTTGGAGTTCCGTATTTTTAAAATTTTTCGAGCTATTTTAAGAGTAAGAATTGACAGTAAAAAAACAACTGTTGTTGACCTGCGACATTAATGACAGCACACCGGCTACCGGGCGTAAATAAACGATATTTTCATTATGCAAAAGACAAGAATAACTTTTTGATATGTCCCGGAAAGGGATATATTTGTGGTTTTGGACTACTGTAACCGGGTAGGACAATCTAGCAGGTAACCGTAATGGACTGGTGCTCGTCGTAGTAGTAGGCAATAGGCGTAGGCAATAGTCGTATGCAATAGGCGTAGCCAATAAGCGTCGTTAAGAGACGTAGTCCTGATCCTCCACATCAGTCTGTATTTATAGCTGACACCAGCCAATCATATTACTGTGAGGGGGAACCCAGGTGCATGCATATTCATTACATCACTTTAAAAAAAAAATCTCTGAATTAATTCTTAAATTTAATAGTTAGCTTTAAAAACAAATCTGGAGAACAAATACTGGATTTTAAAGAGGTTTTTTAATATTTTCGTTGTTTACATTTCTCATTTATAATGGCAGTTCGATGAGTCGATGGGTGGCAAATGAACATGTCAATGTTTTAAAAATCTCTAAAAAACTCTATTTAGATAAGGAAATTTATTTCCCTTTTCCCACAGACGAAACGGGAGAAAAGGCAGGGGTTTATAGAACTTGCTATTCTATCATTATTTTCACAGCAGATGTTCAGGCGAACTACATTCATTGGTTCAGAACTTCACGACTTCATGCCTCGTACACTGAGTCGTCTGATCGTAATTCCCTTCATATTCCATTTGTAAGGAGGAAGTTCCGCTCAGAGAGATTCTTCCCCAGAACTATTTGCTTGTGAAACAGACTCCTAAGATAATGCTTCTCAATCCCTATAATCTTAACCTATTCAAGTTGAGGTCTAATCTTTATATATCCTACATATACTCATAATATTCATGCATATGCATCATAATTATGCAATATACATAATATCTTTCTCCCTTCTTGTAAAAACTAATTTTGTAACGATCTAGCTTGAGCGGCTCGTGAACTTAGTAATAGATGAACAATACTAAAATAAATACATTTACTATTGACAATAATATAGAATGCTGCAAAGTATAGATATTTGGATTAGCAGCGGGGGCTGGGGAATATTACCTGACATTTCAACTTTGCATATGAAATCAGGATGATACTTTCGGCCTTTTGTTACTTTTTTTTTAAAGAGAAGCTAGTTTATTATACAACATCAATATGCTATTTTGCCTTGGATTAAAAAAAAAAGGATACTTTTCAAAAAATATACGCTTCGTTTATTAAAATTTCATGTTGATGTAATTCCTTAAAATTAGACAAATCATAATTACACAAAATGAATTTTTCTGAAAGATATTTTCAGTGCATTTCAAAGTCAGTTCGTTTTTCATTTGCAATATCGGAAGCAATCTAAATATTTGCATGGCACATGTTTACGAGAATTAAAGTCAAATTTGATTTAATTTTCAAAAATTAAAATGAATTATTGCTTTTATTAATCCCTTCTTTCTTTAAATATGGCCGCCGAAACTTGCTTTAAGATTCCGGTCGCATCTCGAATGGACGAAGCTACAACATCATCCGACGGTGGTGACTTCTGAATTTATGCAAACATTTCTTAGTTCAACAATATCAGTTGATTTTTTAGAAGACCGACCTCTTTCCCAGCCACCGCGGATTTTATCGACGTAACCTCCGATGCAAGGTGTGATTAAGATCATTTTCATGAACAGAACGATGAACGGAATCACACAACACATAAAGGAATTGAAGAAATAAAATTCGGTTGGAAATTTTATCCATCCGGGCAACGCGAAAATGACGACATGCGCAGTGGCGAGAAACAGCGTCACGTATCCCAAGTGACTTTGAACGAAACGCCATTCTCGCCAGTTGAGAATGGCGCCAACAGACGGCAGTGAAGAGAGACCCAATATGCTCATCAGTAGTATAGCCAAAATTCCGACACTGATCGTCCCTTCACCTTTTAGATTCATTCTAACAGAGAAATCAAGAACGAAATTACTGGTGTTCTCAGGAAAATGGACTTTAGTGCTTTCAAACCACGATCCTGAGTAACCAGGCGAGATGTAAATGCCGGATATTGCTACGTGCCATACACTAAAGAAGAGAGCGTAGAGGCCGATCATTTTGCGAGCTTTTAACCATCGATCAAACCAGTCCGGAAAGCGTTTGTATTTTGTTCCGTTTATTATTTGAAGAAATGCGGCCAGACAGCCTGGTAAATAGGACAATGCAAGGAGAGTAATGGCCGTGATGCACACAGGTGTGTTCACATAAGCCAAGGGAACTTGGTCCCACTTGAATTTATGCGTGGAATTTCGATAGTAGAGCCAATACTTAAGGATAACCACCAGATTCCAACCTACGAAGATTGCAAATGTGAAAAGTGTAGGCCATCCCCAGCCATACATGAGGGTCAGCGGGTAGGCCTCAAGATCCCGGGACGACCTCAGGGTTCCATAATCAATCGGTGTGAAGCCCATCTCACGTGACAAGACTGAGACTTTATCTCTTGCTTCTTGGTCGTTACTGGCAATTAACACCTGCTTTGTTCCACCAAATGTGTCACTTTCCATAGCATATGCTGACAATGTGTTGAATGCTTTTACAATTCGGACACCTGGAAAAGCTTCGGCAAGTTTTTCAGCATTCGACTCACCCTTGTTAAGTTTATCTTGGTTTGATATATCGATTAGGATTTTATCACCCAAACTGTCGATGGAAGGTGCGAGGCAAGCTGTGAAATTCTTTGAATGCACCGCTAAAAAAACAATAGAAATATTCTCATTCGTTAGAACATGATTAATCGTTTCTACTTTGACCGGCTTCAGTTCTTCGTCAATACTAGTCACCCGTTGGTGATCCGGGTCACGACTACCCATTATCACTTGATAACCGCTGCGCAGGAGTCGTTTTGCAAGAGCTCTTCCATAATCACCGGTCCCCAGAATTCCGATCATTTTAGTCTTCGGCATGTTTTCTTCCTGGGAAAAAATGTAAAGAAAATTGTTAAAAATAATAAAATCAAATAATTTTAAAAATCATTTAATACTCCTTTTTAATGAGCATCATTTCTATTCATTCTCAATTTCAACATTCTGAGTTCATTAATTCAAGACCACTGACAATCCCTTTCTTCCTGTTTAATTCGTTCATTTTTTTTTTAGGCTTATCAGCCTTTTGCGGGTTATTTAAAACAAGGAAATATCTTTAGATTTTAAGACTTTTTGTGGAAGGAGGAAATATTAACCGTTTAGTTTAAACAAGTTAAACATTTAAAATTGGTGGATTCATACCAGTTCACTGCTGTTTTATATCTTTCAGGACATTTGGCTATCATAGTTTAGAAGACAAGATTTTATACTGGTGAGATTTTTATACAGATAGATCGTAAATACTTTGAATTTTATACGATAGGTCGTAAATACTTTGGATTTTATACGGATAGGTCATAAATACTTTGGATTTTAAACAGACAGGTCGTAAATACTTTGGATTTTAGTCCCATATCAACGTCGAGAAACGGGATTTTGTTACTAACCATGAGTTCATATGTAAATTTTAGCGTTGCGTTTTTTTCGAAAGTTGATTTCTAGATTTGGTAGTACAGGCGAGTAGTAGTTTCCGGAGAGTTGCTGGTCGAATTTTGGGAGATGGGATTGACGGTTATTTGTAGATGCAGTCACAAGTTATGTTGATATTTTCATTTGATCAGACGCCTCACTTGTCATTTATCTAACCAAAGTATCATAAAAGGGCATTTAGTCAGCCACAATGTACATGAAACTATAAGGAAGATTCTGATTGATAACCAAATCATCCTTCATAGGCCCCTTAACCGAAGGGATTTCGCTGCGAGAAAGACTCTTTATATAAAACACCTGACACCCAGTATAAATATCACTTTATTCAGCGGCGGAAGTGGTGTGTTGAAGGTTTCTTTTTTATATATAGAAAGATGCCAACTCGAATTTCATAAACGTTCATTTCACGGGGCTCGGAATAAATATTACTGCTATCTAGGCATCACAAAAATACCTCTTAAACAGACAAACATGAAAAGAAATTAGCAACACTTAACAACAAACCTTTTGAAAATACTTAAAGAAGTAGCTGAAAGCGGTTGGAACAATGGACACTACGGACAATTTTTGCAATTCCTTATCTATCACCAAACGGAAGAATGCAAAATATTAGAAAAACTAAATTAAAAATTAATCAAATTTTTCCTAGTCTGTCATATTCAACGAAACGTATATATATATATATATATATATATATATATATATATATATATATACCTGAAAAAAAACTTAAATTCGGTTGTGCAGTTTGGAAGATCAGTGTGAATTTGTAAACAATGACTATTACTACTAATATTACGAGGCTCCTCTCTTCCCTAAATTGAGCACAGTCAGTCATTGGTGTGTTTATTCACAGAATAAATAAATAAAAATTTGCCTTTCTTTCAACCGTGCGCCGGTAGCTTAGGGGGAAAAATATCCGACTGTTGCTGAATCAGTCGGGTTTCGGTTCCAGCTTGAAACAATCGGATGTTTGGCCACATTAATGAGCTGCGAAACGCTGTCTCCGGATAATAATATATATATATATATATATGCGAATATTAAAATATTAAGAACAGTAAGATTTATAATCCGGTGTTCTTAGCAATTATTTTTATTTAAGAAAAAACAAAAAACAAAAAAATAATGCTATATACAAACAGTAGAGCAAAATATTATAATTATTTTCTTTTTTAAAAATACGATTCCATCGACACAGAAATTTCTTTGTTTCAAAACTGAAATTAAAACTGTAAATTTAATTATAAAAATCAAACTTAAAATCTAGAGTTTCGTTCCATTGTCAAGCGATGTTAGGAATAACTTTCTAAGAAATATTTTTTATATATATATAATTTAAATAAAAAAAAACAGACAATATGGATCCATTGATTATATTTTATTTCCCCAGGAAAATATTTTTTTCCTGGTTCCTCAGATCACATTTCCAAGTATAATATATATATATATATATATATATATATATATATATACACACACTGCGTGCCAAATTATTATCGAGATAACTTTTTCTAATATTTCAAAAACCGTCCAATCACAATAAAATTTTTCACAAATTTTGGCAACACTGACCTGCGCAATCACTGAAATTTTCGTACTGATCTGCGCAATGTAAACAAACTGGCGCCATATTTGTTATCAGCACGGTGATTTGAGCGTGCCAAATTATTAGAAAGGTTTAGTAAAATTCCCAGAATTGAGCACACAAAACGTTTATTATATTGCACGTGAAAATGATAAAATGTGATAAAATATAGTTTTAAGGTTTGCTATACATGTGGCTTAAATTGCTCAATATCAGGGCAAGAAATATAAAAGTGGACATTGAAGTCAACAGCAAAGGCGACAGTCCGTTTAATGCTTATGCGCAATCGTCAGGCCATTCCGTATAAGCATGAAACGGACTGTCGCATCCAGCTGAGTTTTTTGCTTCAATGTCTACTAATATATATATATATATATATATATATATATATATATATATATATATATATATAGATATAGATAGATATTAGATAGATAAATATAAATATAAATATATATGAAATATATAAATACCAACACATGTATATTTTTTAGAATAAAATTCCAAGAGGATAGAATCCAGGTAGAACTCAATGTCCAGGACAGAGTAAGGATATAATAAAAAACTTAAACACTAATATTCCATGGTCATAATTTATTCCATTGGAATCGTAAATACGATCCAATTCATCAGACCTACAAATTCAAAAATTTTTTTGAATTTGTAGGTCTAATGATTTGGATCGTATTTACGATTCCAATGGAATAAATTATGACCATGAAATATTAGTGTTTAAGCCTTTTTATTATTTATATATAATTATTTATTCGAAAATTATAACATAAATATGTTATAAAATCACTACAAAAATAGCCATTTTGTTTAAACACTTCTGGTGTCTTATCAAATGATGGTGTTGAATATAGAATAAAGGGTTTTAAAAGGTTCAAATTAATTAACCACCTCTGACAAGGGGAAACGCTGTTACATAAACTGGAATGACCAATCAAAATACAAGTATACGAGAATTCAAAAAACTTGACAATGAACTAAGGTTATAATAACTATTTAATACCTTAATGTTAGGGTTAAACTAAAATAGAATTTATTCTAACTAATAAGTATTAAATTATACGATAAAATTTGAAATTAAAAATTACCCATTTTAAAATTTAAATTTAATCTATTAAGTTTAGAATTATAAAATTACTGAGGAAAAAAGAAAAAAATACGTATGTTATTCTATTTATTTTGATTGTTAAGATCAATTGTTGCTCTGACCTTCATGACAACATGGATACATTTGAATTCTAAACATAGGCAGGGGAGGATGACATCTTGCAAAAGACAATACATACACAATCAGATTATAATACATAAGCACACAGACATATTTAGATATATATACACACACAAAAGTGACGAGACAGGAAATATTTCCACGACCCTTTACAAGAAAAAAAAACCCAAAACAAAACAAAAAAAAAAAAACACATACACAATGAAAGATGCATTCAATTTACCATACACAGAGACACCGATAAAGACACGTACATACACCCACATACATTGACATAGACACTCCATTACAACAACCAAGAAATATTTAACATTGAAAGTGTTATTAAACGAATTCTAACCACTTATTAAAATATGACTTATACGGGCAAATAAATAAATATATATATATATATATATATATATATATATATATGCAGAGCAACCTCGGTTCTCGAACGTCTCACTTGTCGAACAAATTGGTTTCGAACAGAAAATTCGTGATTAAAATGCCTCGGTTATTGAACAAAATTTGGTTCTTGAACAACATTGCCGAGCCGAGTTAACTTTGACGGAATCATTTCTTAACCGACCTCCATGTTGTATACTTTCGTGTGTTGTCCAATTTTCTTTTCCAATTTTATTGTACTGTGCCTTTTTTTTCTCTCTTCATTGGCTCTTAGTGATGACTCCAAAGAAAGGCTAGCAGTGATACTGGTAAAGCAAAAAGAAAAGTTAAGAGAAAAACAATTGTTGATGATATTTTCTCTTCCTTCTAGTTTCATATAGCAAAATCAGTGATCTATACTGTTCTTATAAATAAAGAATCAATCATGTCTTTCCTTCCCCCTTCCACACCACCTTCCACTTACGCCATCGCCTCCCCCGACTTACAAGTAAGGTAAAATTAAAGTGTTCTTCTATATTTTATCTATTTAGTATTGGGTTTATTTTTTTTTTTTTTTTTAGATTTAATGAATTTCATTAGTTTTGTATATAAACTTGTGCACAAAGTACTTTTTGAAACTTTAAGTAAGCAATCATTTTGGGACCAGGAACGGATTTATCCATTTTACAGTGATTCCTGTTGGAAAAAGAGTTTCGGTTAACGAACATTTCGGGTTACGAACGGGCTTTAGGAAAATATCAACTTGATTTACGGGATCTTTTTTTTTTTTCTATTCAGACATTTTAAAATTCGTAATGTCTACCAAACGATTTTCAGGAAGTTTGAGGGAGTGATTGCCTCGTCCTAAGACATTTTTTTAAAGAAAAGAATATTAAAGCAAACTTTTTTAACAAAATAATAAGTGCAACGGAGATAGAGACAATACTCTCCAATTTTAAATTAATAAAGAGAATTGCCACAGAAGGAATAACAAGATAAACATGACTGGGTAAGAACGGTAATACTTTGAGAATTGTGCAAATGACTTGGCTTTAAACATGCACAGAAATGGCATAGTCACAAGCTAAAATTTCTAAATAATAGATGTAAAATAAAGGCAGAGAAATATTTTAATTCTGGCTCTGAAACCCGGTTTAATGATTATAAACTTACAAAATGAAATCTATTTGTAGATTTTGCTTTACCAGTGAAAATGAAAGAAAGTGAAAATGAAAAAGAATGAAAACGTTGGACCTTGCGGAGGTACAGGTATTTATTCAAACATTTATAATAATAATAATAATAATAATAATAATAATAATAATACCTACTCATACCTTTTTCATATACGTAAATTTGCAATTTAATGCCTGCTAAGGTGAGCAGAATTTTTGTCAATAAAGCGCTCACTAGATATCTAGAGCGATAATTATTATTAAAGTATAAAGAAGTTTACATTACTTATCAAAGACCGACTTAAAATTTTGACGTCGGAGTCACGACAATATCCTGACGAACGAAACATCGTGAAACTAAATCTGTCTTTAAGAAGTATTGTAAACGTTTTATATTTTAATAACAAAAAATAACAAAACAATAAAGAAATAATGACGGCAAAAGAAGAAGTCGAAAGAACGTAATTCAAGGTTTTATTTTCTGGGAAGAGAACATTCTAAAAATAAATGTAAAAATGTGTTAAATGCCTTCTCTCTGCTTTGAAAATGACAGCTACTCGTCATTAAAAAAATTCTCTTTAATCCCAAATCCAGTATGTCGTGTTTGCAAGAAGCTGTGTTTTGCCCACACGCCAGAGAATCATCTTCTCTTCACAGCGTCTATTTCGAAATTCTTCCCTGTACACACTGGGGTTCACTGATTGTCCGTTAAGTGTCACATGACGACCAAGCACGGCGAAGAAAGGGTAAGTTAGGGGAAGAAGGAAGGACGTTAACCCCATACCATAATTATCGGTGCATTAAGAATAATCCTGAAGAGTTTTGCATATATTTTTTGAAGAATTTGAAATCCAAAAAACTGAAACCATCCACATATCTAAATTGAGGCTTGGGGAATAGATTGAATAACTTGCTGTCTAGTGATATCTATTAGATACGAATAGTATGGCAACTAGAAATAATAATGGCAACAAAGATGAGGACAATAGTCCGAATAATGTAAATAGTGTACATAATACCTGATCTCAGAAATATACAGATACTGAAGGACCGAAACGTTGTGATAAATATGGCAACAAAGATGAGGACAATAGTCCGAATAATGTAAATAGTGTACATAATACATCAGCTCAGAAATATAGACAGATTTATGACTCAATCATATAATAATTACTTTTGTAATAATATTTGTGAAAGAAATGAAAAAGTTATGGAAGATGAAAGTCGTTCCGGTTGTTATCAGAGCACTGGGAACTGTTCCGAAAAAGCAACGAAATAAATCCCAGAGGACAACAGACGCATCGGAGAATTGATTTGAGATGATTCAGATGACAGAGCTGCTAAAATCAGGAAGAATACTGAGGAGAGTTCTGTAGTATTGAATAGGCTTGTTGTCACTTGGACACCAGTGATAACTACCAATTACTTCTGGTTTAAAATCCGAAATGAAAAAAAATAATTTAGGATAGTTTCTACTTTCTATATAGTCGCTTGTTTTTATTTAAATAAAAGTTTAACAACAAATCAAAAAGGAAACATTTTAAAAAAATAATTTTTTCATTGCAAGCAAATAATTGTTAACAACATAGTTTAAAATCAGTGAAATTTTAAATTAGTAGACAACCATGAAAGTTTTAAATATACTTACCAAAAAATGTAACAGAACTACCACAGCGTATGTAAGCAAATACTTTCGCAATAAAAATTACGTCCTGTAAAAAAAATGACTTTTTCTTCTTTCTGTTAACGAACACAGAAACATCGACACGCTACTGACGGCTGTTATTTAAATGGAAAAAAGTAGCTGGTGACTAGAAAATTGCATAAAAAAAGACTCTTTTGTCTTTTTGCAATATTTTTTAAATAAAAGAACAACGCAAAAACAGGTCGTTTCGTTGCGTACTGCTGACAGTCGTACGGTTGAAATGCAAAGTATGAAGTTGTTGCACAGACGACGAATTTGGCCGACTGCTACTTAACGCCGATTTGTCATCAGGAGAGTTTTCAATGAACAAAATCCAACCATCTACCATGCCTTGGCCACGCCATGAAACGCTACCATGCTAACATTTTGACGCAAGTTCCTTTAAATTTAACTTTTCCTTTACGTACACGCCCACTCTGTTTGTCTGTCTGTCGGTCTTTCTCCTCCTCAAGGTCTTTTTTTTTTCGTAAAAAAATCCTGAGAAAAACTAAACATTTTCTTTTATAGCAACTCTCATTACTACCCGAAGGAATTTAATTTAAACGTTATTTTTTTTTTTTTTTAATATTGTAATTATGTGATAATTCTTTTTCAAGTAAACAAATAATTCTTTTTATTTACTTATGTAATTTACTTATGTAATTTATCCATTTTTAGAATTTGGGAAATTATAGTTTTCTGTGCATTTTCTACAGAAAAATTATGAACGTAAAAAAAAACGAATGAACTGCTTTATATTTGAATGTTTTTTTTTCGTCGTAAAATGAGTTTTTTTTAGCAAATTTCTGGTAATACACACTTCGAGGGCATATCAATAAATCCGTTGATTGACACGGACTTAGCGACAGAAATTTTATTTTATTTTTTTATCTGGTATAATGCCTGATCATTTTGAAGAATAAGTGCATTGACAAGAAATGGTTTTGAAAAGAATGTTTGTTGCATAAAATAAATGAATGTACATACAATGGTAGATGAAGTACCACTAAAATGGATGTATTTTTCCCGAAATGAAAGCAAAAATGGCTCATCTGTTTTTATAAATTTGTAAAAATCACGGAATTTTCCGATTTAAACGAAATTTTCAGTAGTTATTTAATAATGAATGAATTTATATACAAAACTATGGATTATTTTATTAGAAAATTTGTGGAAATATTTTTTAAGGTTAGTTTCACCCGCCTCTCGTGTACCTTTTAATTGAGGGCCGATTTTTTTACTTTTTTAAGAGCGGGGGTCGATATTTTTAATTGGGGAGTGATGATATTTTTAATTTTTTTTTTTTTTTTGACTGCGTTATGAAGAAAAATCCCTAAAGTTATTTTTTATCCAATATCAAGTAAAGAAGAACATACAGAAAATCCGCCCCGAACCTTCTTAAAAATAATTCAATAAAACTCAAAAAATATTTTTTGGGGAGTTGGTTAGTTTATAATTTTAAAAAGTTGTATTTCTTTTCAGATTAGGCAAGGAAAAAATTATACAAAATATTTTTTTTTTTTAAATTACTTGCAATTTTTCAATGTTATTTTGAAATTCATCCTGTTTCTGTTCGTAACTATTATTTAAAAAAAATTCTCAATAAATAAAGATATCCTTGAAGAATCGAAAAATGTAATGTTTAATGGCATTTTCGAGTGTGAACCTTTTTAAAGTGTTTTTTTCATTTTTGCAAATGTTAGATTATTTTTTCTATGGATGTTCAAAAAGGAACTAATTTCAAGTTAGCGCATTTGACTGACTACTCTTTACTATCGGAAGTTTAATATAATATATGATAATCCACTTACACATAAATTCAGAATAGTTAAAAAGAAATATCTTATTGAGTACCATTAAATATTTTTTTACATCAAAAATGTAAAAAAAAAAAAAATAAAAAAAAAAAACAAGAAAGGATTAAGCTTAAAATTATAATTTTACTAGAGTCTTAAATTAATTTCTTTTTTATATTTCTAAAGTAGTATAAAGTTAAATTATTCATTCTGCTAAGTTTCATAAAGTCTATAGATTAAACAATTATATAGTTAAACTTTTGGTGAAGGTTAAATATCATTTATTCTTAAGCATAAATACTAATTTATTGATTATTGCACTGTTGGAGTTCCGTATTTTTAAAATTTTTCGAGCTATTTTAAGAGTAAATTGACAGTAAAAAACAACTGTTGTTGACCTGCGACATTAATGACAGCACACCGGCTACCGGGCGTAAATAAACGATATTTTCATTATGCAAAAGACAAGAATAACTTTTTGATATGTCCCGGAAAGGGATATATTTGTGGTTTTGGACTACTGTAACCGGGTAGGACAATCTAGCAGGTAACCGTAATGGACTGGTGCTCGTCGTAGTAGTAGGCAATAGGCGTAGGCAATAGTCGTATAGTCAATAGGCGTAGCCAATAAGCGTCGTTAAGAGACGTAGTCCTGATCCTCCACATCAGTCTGTATTTATAGCTGACACCAGCCAATCATATTACTGTGTGGGGGAACCCAGGTGTATGCATATTCATTACATCACTTTAAAAAAAAAAATCTCTGAATTAATTCTTAAATTTAATAGTTAGCTTTAAAAACAAATCTGGAGAACAAATACTGGATTTTAAAGAGGTTTTTTAATATTTTCGTTGTTTACATTTCTCATTTATAATGGCAGTTCGATGAGTCGATGGGTGGCAAATGAACATGTCAATGTTTTAAAAATCTCTAAAAAACTCTATTTAGATAAGGAAATTTATTTCCCTTTTCCCACAGACGAAACGGGAGAAAAGGCAGGGGTTTATAGAACTTGCTATTCTATCATTATTTTCACAGCAGATGTTCAGGCGAACTACATTCATTGGTTCAGAACTTCACGGCGCGACATGCCTCGTACACTGAGTCGACTGATCGTAATTCCCTTCATATTCCATTTGTAAGGAGGAAGTTCTGCTCAGACAGATTCTTCTCCAGAACTATTTGCTTGTGAAACAGACTCCTGAGATAATGCTTCTCAATCCCTATAATCTTAACCTATTCAAGTTGAGGTCTAATCTTTATATATCCTACATATACTCATAATATTCATGCATATGCATCATAATTATGCAATATACATAATATCTTTCTCCCTTCTTGTAAAAACTAATTTTGTAACGATCTAGCTTGAGCGGCTCGTGAACTTAGTAATAGATGAACAATACTAAAAAATACATTTAATATTGACAATAATATAGAATGCTGCAAATTATAGATATCAGCAGCCGGGGCGGGGGAATATTACCTGACATTGCATATGAAATCAGGGAGATACTTTCAGCCTTTTGTTACTTTTTTTTTTTTTCAATATGCTATTTTGCCTTGGATTAAAAAAAAAAGGATACTTTTCAAAAAATATACGCTTCGTTTATTAAAATTTCAAGTTGATGTAATTCCTTAAAATTAGACAAATCATAATTACACAAAATGAATTTTTCTGAAAGATATTTTCAGTGCATTTCAAAGTCAGTTCGTTTTTCATTTGCAATATCGGAAGCAATCCAAATATTTGCATGACACATGTTTACGAGAATTCACGTAAAATTTGATTTCATTTTCAAAAATTAAAATGAATGTTTTTTGTCTATTCTAGTACCATTTACATTAAAAGCATTTTTCAAATGATTTCAGACTAAAAAATGAAACATTATTTTACAAAAATATCAAAGATGGTTTATAAACAAAATGTATTACACGAATTTGCACGTGTAATATATAAGAATTGAATGATTTAATCGCTAATGAGTTAATCCCAAATCCAAATAGAATGATTTGCAATATATATGATTACTTTTAATAATCTCTTCTTTCTTTAAATATGGACGCCGAAAGTTGCTTTAACATTCCGGTCGCATCTCGAATGGACGAAGCTACAACTTCATCCGACGGTGGTGACTTCTGAATTTATGCTAACATTTCTTAGTTCAACAATATCAGATGATTTTTTAAAAGGCCGGCCTCTTTCCCAGCCACCGCGGATTTTATCGACGTAACCTCCGATGCAAGGTGTGATTAAGATCATTTTCATGAACAGAACGATGAACGGAATCACACAACACATAAAGGAATTGAAGTGATAAAATCTGGTTGGAAATTTTATCCATCCGGGCAACGCGAAAATGACGACATGCGCAGTGACGAGAAACAGCGTCACGTATCCCAAGTGACTTTGAACGAAACGCCATTCTCGCCAGTTGAGAATGGCGCCAACAGACGGCAGTGAAGACAGACCCAATATGCTCATCAGTAGTAAAGCCAAAATTCCGACACTGATCGTCCCTTCACCTTTTAGATTCATTCTAACAGAGAAATCAAGAACGTAGTCACTGGTGTTCTCAGGTAAATGGACTTTAGTGCTTTCAAACCACGATCCCAAGTAACCAGGCGACATGTAAATGCCGGATATTGTTACGTGCCATACACTAAAGAAGAGAGCGTAGAGGCCGATCATTTTGCGAGCTTTTAACCATCGATCAAACCAGTCCGGAAAGCGTTTGTATTTTGTTCCGTTTATTATTTGAAGAAATGCGGCCAGACAGCCTGGTAAATAGGACAATGCAAGAAGAGTAATGGCCGTGAGACACACAGGTTTGTTCAAATAAGACAGGGGAATTCTGTCCCACTTGAATTTACGCTTGGAATTTCGATAATAGATCGAATATTTAATGATAAGGACCAGATTCCAACCGACGAAGATTGCAAATGTAAAAAGTGTAGGCCATCCCCAGCCATACATGAGGGTCAGCGGGTAGGCCTCAAGATCCCGGGACGACCTCAGGGTTCCATAATCAATCGGTGTGAAGCCCATCTCACGTGACAAGACTGAGACTTTATCTCTTGCTTCTTGGTCGTTACTGGCAATTAACACCTGCTTCGTTCCACCAAATGTGTCACTTTCCATAGCATATGCTGACAATGTGTTGAATGCTTTTACAATTCGGACACCTGGAAAGGCTTCGGCAAGTTTTTCAGCATTCGACTCACCCTTGTTAAGTTTATCTTGGTTTGATATATCGATTAGGATTTTGTCACCCAAACTGTCGATGGAAGGCGCGAGGCAAGCTGTGAAATTCTTTGAATGCACCGCTAAAAAAACAATAGAAATATTCTCATTCGTTAGAACATGATTAATCGTTTCTACTTTGACCGGCTTCAGTTCTTCGTCAATACTAGTCACCCGTTGGTGATCCGGGTCACGGCTACCCATTATCACTTGATAACCGCTGCGCAGGAGTCGTTTTGCAAGAGCTCTTCCATAATCACCGGTCCCCAGAATTCCGATTATTTTAGTCTTCGACATGTTTTCTTCCTGGGAAAAAATGTAAAGAAAATTGTTAAAATATAATAAAATCAAATAATTTAAAAAAATCATTTAATACTCCTTTCTATGAGCATCATTTCTATTCATTCTCAATTGCTAACATTCTGAGTTCATTAATTCAAGACCACTGACAATCCCTTTCTTCCTGTTTAATTCGTTCATTTTTTTTTTAGGCTTATCAGCCTTTTGCGGGTTATTTAAAACAAGGAAATATCTTTAGATTTTAAGATTTTTTTGTGGAAGGAGGAAATATTAACCGTTTAGTTTAAACAAGTTAAACATTTAAAATTGGTGGATTCATACCAGTTCACTGCTGTTTTATATCTTTCAGGACATTTGGCTATCATAGTTTAGAAGACAAGATTTTATACTGGTGAGATTTTTATACAGATAGATCGTAAATACTTTGAATTTTATACGATAGGTCGTAAATACTTTGGATTTTATACGGATAGGTCATAAATACTTTGGATTTTAAACAGACAGGTCGTAAATACTTTGGATTTTATACGGACAGGTCGTAAATACTTTGGATTTTAGTCACATATCAACGTCGAGAAACGGGATTTTGTTACTAACCATGAGTTCATATGTAAATTTTAGCGTTGCGTTTTTTTCGAAAGTTGATTTCTAGATTTGGTAGTACGGGCGAGTAGTAGTTTCCGGAGAGTTGCTGGTCGAATTTTGGGAGATGGGATTGACGGTTATTTGTAGATGCAGTCACAAGTTATGTTGATATTTTCATTTGATCAGACGCCTCACTTGTCATTTATCTAACCAAAGTATCATAAAAAGGGCATTTAGTCAGCCACAATGTACATGAAACTATAAGGAAGATTCTGATTGATAATTTTCATCCTTCATAGGCCCCCTTAACCGAAGGGATTTCGCTGCGAGAAAGACTCTTTATATAAAACACCTGACACCCAGTATAAATATCACTTTATTCAGCGGCGGAAGTGGTGTGTTGAAGGTTTCTTTTTTATATATAGAAAGATGCCAACTCGAATTTCATAAACGTTCATTTCACGGGGCTCGGAATAAATACATTGCTATCTAGGCATCACAAAAATACCTCTTAAACAGACAAACATGAAAAGAAATTAGCAACACTTAACAACAAACCTTTTGAAAATACTTAAAGAAGTAGCTGAAAGCGGTTGGAACAATGGACACTACGGACAATTTTTGCAATTCCTTATCTATCACCAAACGGAAGAATGCAAAATATTAGAAAAACTAAATTAAAAATTAATCAAATTTTCCTAGTCTGTCATATTCAACGAAACGTATATATATATATATATATATATATATATACCCGAAAAACTTAAATTCGGTTGTGCAGTTTGGAAGATCAGTGTGAATTTGTAAACAATGACTATTGCTACTAATATTACGAGGCTCCTCTCTTCCGTAAATTGAGCACAGTCAGTCATTGGTGTGTTTATTCACAGAATAAGTAAATAAAAATTCGCCTTTCTTTCAACCGTGCGCCGGTAGCTTAGGGGAAAAAATCTCCGACTGTTTCTGAATCAGTCGGGTTTCGGTTCCAGCTTGAAGCAATCGGATGTTTGGCCACATTAATGAGCTGCGAAACGCTGTCTCCGGATAACAATATATATATATATATATATATATATGCGTATATTAAAATATTAAGAACTAACAGTAAGATTTATAATCCGGTGTTCTTAACAATTATTTTTATTTAAGAAAAAACAAAAAACAAAAAAATAATGCTATATACAAACAGTAGAGCAAAATATTATAATTATTTTCTTTTTTTAAAAATACGATTCCATCGACACAGAAATTTCTTTGTTTCAAAACTGAAATTAAAACTGTAAATTTAATTATAAAAATCAAACTTAAAATCTAGAGTTTCGTTCCATTGTCAAGCGATGTTAGGAATAACTTTCTAAGAAATATTTTTTATATATATATAATTTAAATTAAAAAGAACAGACAATAAGGATCCATTGATTATATTTTATTTCCCCAGGAAAATGTTTTTTCCTGGTTCCTCGAATCACATTTCAAGTATAATATATATATATATATATATATATATATATATATATATATATATATATATATATATATATATATATATATACACACACTGCGTGCCAAATTATTATCGAGATAACTTTTTTCTAATATTTCAAAAACCGTCCAATCACACAAAATTTTCACACAATTTTGGCAACACTGACCTGCGCAATCACTGAAATTTTCGTACTGATCTGCGCAATGTAAACAAACTGGCGCCATATTTGTTATCAGCACGGTGATTTGAGCGTGCCAAATTATTAGAAAGGTTTAGTAAAATTCCCAGAATTGAGCACACAAAACGTTTATTATGTTGCACGTGAAAATGATAAAATGTGATAAAATATAGTTTTAAGGTTTGCTATACATGTGGCTTAAATTGCTCAATATCAGGGCAAGAAATATAAAAGTGGACATTGAAGTCAACAGCAAAAGGCGACAGTCCGTTTAATGCTTATGCGCAATCGTCAGGCCATTCCGTATAAGCATGAAACGGACTGTCGCATCCAGCTGAGTTTTTTGCTTCAATGTCTACTAATATATATATATATATATATATATATATATATATATATATATATATATATATATATATATATATATAGATAGATAGATAATATTAGTGGTAAATATACATACGAAATATATATGCAGAAATATATAAATACCCACACATGTATATTTTTAGAATAAAAATTCAAGAGGATAGAATCCAGGTAGAACTCAATGTCCAGGACAGAGTAAGGATATAATAAAAAGGCTTAAACACTAATATTCCATGGTCATAATTTATTCCATTGGAATCGTAAATACGATCCAATTCATCAGACCTACAAATTCAAAAATTTTTTGAATTTGTAGGTCTAATGATTTGGATCGTATTTACGATTCCAATGGAATAAATTATGACCATAAATATTAGTGTTTAATATTTTTATTATTTATATATAATTATTTATTCGAAAATTATAACATAAATATGTTATAAAATCACTAAAAAAAATAGCCATTTTGTTTAAACACTTCTGGTGTCTTATCAAATGATGGTGTTGAATATAGAATAAAGGGTTTTAAAAGGTTCAAATTAATTAACCACCTCTGACAAGGGGAAACGCTGTTACATAAACTGGAATGACAAATCAAAATACAAGTATACGAGAATTCAAAAAACTTGACAATGAACTAAGGTTATAATAACTATTTAATACCTTAATGTTAGGGTTAAACTAAAATAGAATTTATTCTAACTAATAAGTATTAAATTATACGATAAAATTTGAAATTAAAATTTTACCCATTTTAAAATTTAAATTTAATCTATTAAGTTTAGAATTATAAAATTACTGAGGAAAAAGAAAAAAAAAATACGTATGTTATTCTATTTATTTTGATTGTTAAGATCAATTGTTGCTCTGACCTTCATGACAACATGGATACATTTGAATTCTAAACATAGGCAGGGGAGGATGACATCTTGCAAAAGACAATACATACACAATCAGATTATAATACATAAGCACACAGACATATTTAGATATATATACACACACACAAAAGTGACGAGACAGGAAATATTTCCACGACCCTTTACAAGAAAAAAAAAAACCCAAAACAAAACAAGAACAAAAAAACACATACACAATGAAAGATGCATTCAATTTACCATACACAGAGACACCGATAAAGACACGTACATACACCCACATACATTGACATAGACACTCCATTACAACAACCAAGAAATATTTAAGATTGAAAGTGTTATTAAACGAATTCTAACCACTTATTAAAATATGACTTATACGGGCAAATATATATATATATATATATATATATATATATATATATATATATGCAGAGCAACCTCGGTTCTCGAATGTCTCACTTGTCGAACAAATTGGTTTCGAACAGAAAATTCGTGATTAAAATGCCTCGGTTATTGAACAAAATTTGGTTCTTGAACAACATTGCCGAGCCGAGTTAACTTGAGTGGAATCATTTCTTAACCGACCTCCATGTTGTATACTTTCGTGTGTTGTCCAATTTTCTTTTCCAATTTTATTGTACTGTGCCTTTTTTTTCTCTCTTCATTGGCTCTTAGTGATGACTCCAAAGAAAGGCTAGCAGTGATACTGGTAAAGCAAAAAGAAAAGTTAAGAGAAAAACAATTGTTGATGATATTTTCTCTTCCTTCTAGTTTCATATAGCAAAATCAGTGATCTATACTGTTCTTATAAATAAAGAATCAATCATGTCTTTCCTTCCCCTTCCACACCACCTTCCACTTACGCCATCGCCTCCCCGACTTACAAGTAAGGTAAAATTAAAGTGTTCTTCTATATTTTATCTATTTAGTATTGGGTTTATTTTTTTTTTTTTAGATTTAATGAATTTCATTAGTTTTGTATATAAACTTGTGCACAAAGTACTTTTTTGAAACTTTAAGTAAGCAATCATTTTGGGACCAGGAACGGATTTATCCATTTTACAGTGATTCCTGTTGGAAAAAGAGTTTCGGTTAACGAACATTTCGGGTTACGAACGGGCTTTAGGAAAAATATCAACTTGATTTAGGGAGTGATCGCTAAACATTTTTTTTTTTACATTCAGACATTTTAAAATTCGTAATGTCTACCATGAGAGCTAACGATTTTCAGGAAGTTGTGGAGAGCCATGATTGCCTACGTCCTAAGACATTGAACATAAAGAAAGAATATTAAAACTAAACTAAATTAAATTTAACAAAATAATAAGTGCAACGGAGATAGAGACAATACTCTCCAATTTTAAATTAATAAAGAGAATTGCCACAGAAGGAATAACAAGATAAACATGACTGGGTAAGAACGGTAATACTTTGAGAATTGTGCAAATGACTTGGCTTTAAACATGCACAGAAATGGCATAGTCACAAGCTAGAAATTTCTAAATAATAGATGTAAAATAAAGGCAGAGAAATATTTTAATTCTGGCTCTGAAACCAGGTTTAATGATTATAAACTTACAAAATGAAATCTATTTGTAGATTTTGCTTTACCAGTGAAAATGAAAGAAAGTAAAAATGAAAAAGAATGAAAACGTTGGACCTTGCGTAGGTACAGGTATTTATTCAAACATTTATAATAATAATAATAATAATAATAATAATAATAATAATACCTACTCATACCTACTCATATACGTAAAATTTGCAATTTAATGCCTGCTAAGGTGAGCAGAATTTTGTCAATAAAGCGCTCACTAGATATCTAGAGCGATAATTATTATTAAAAGTATAAAGAAGTTTACATTACTTATCAAAGACCGACTTAAAATTTTGACGTCGGAGTCACGACAATATCCTGACGAACGAAACATCGTGAAACTAAATCTGTCTTTAAGAAGTATTGTAAACGTTTTATATTTTTAATAACAAAAAAATAACAAAACAATAAAGAAATAATGACGGCTAGGAAGAAGTCGAAAGAACGTAATTCAAGGTTTTATTTTCTGGGAAGAGAACATTCTAAAAATAAATGTAAAAATGTGTTAAATGCCTTCTCTCTGCTCATGAAAATGACAGCTACTCGTCATTAAAAAAATTCTCTTTAATCCCAAATCCAGTATGTCGTGTTTGCAAGAAGCTGTGTTTTGCCCACACGCCAGAGAATCATCTTCTCTTCACAGCGTCTATTTCGAAATTCTTCCCTGTACACACTGGGGTTCACTGATTGTCCGTTAAGTGTCACATGACGACCAAGCACGGCGAAGAAGGGGGTAAGTTAGGGAAGAAGGAAGGACGTTAACCCCATACCATAATTATCGGTGCATTAAGAACAATCCTGAAGAGTTTTGCATATATTTTTGAAGAATTTGAAATCCAAAAAAGAACTGAAACCATCCACATATCTAGCAAATTGAGGCTGGTGGGATTGAATAGGCTTGCTGTCTAGTGATATCTATTAGATACGAATAGTATGGCAACTAGAAATAATAATAATAATAATAATAATAATATAATAATAATAATAATAATAATAATAATAATAAATATTCAAGGACATTGAGATTGAAACGAATTGCCCAGTCAGTCCATAAGACCACATCTGGTCGTCGTAAAAAGAAGAACGAGCCAAAAAAGTGAATTTTGCTGTTTCTGAAAATCCCAGAACAAAATCTAAAAAAAGTGAGAAGCTGGGCATAAGTCGAATCATAAATAATTTGCATTTTTGGAAACCAATTCTAATGACAAATGTATTACCTAGCTAAGAGTTCCTTAAGTATATCAGGTGATGAAGAATGGGTTACATACAACAATGTTCAACGCAAAAAGCCAACGGACTGACAAGGAAAAATCCTCACGACCGTCGCTACTTAAATGGAACAATGGTAATGCGTGCGGTGAGATTGTTGGGTCATTATTTATGTAAACTTCTTAAAATGTAATGCAACGATACATGCACATTTTTACGTCCAGCAGCTGGAACTGGTCCATAAATATTTGGTCAAAAAAGCCGCCCTATGTTTGTCAAGAGCAGAAATCTTCCATGACAACGCAAAGCCGCATACAGCAAAAATAACACAAGGGGAAAAACTGGAACTTGCTTGGCCTGTCCTACCGCACCCACCCATATTCGCTTGACCCTTGCACCAACCAACCAACCTTTCATGATCGTTTTCAGAACGCTTTGATGGGTGGGGGGAACCTTTTCGAAGCGTTCATCGGAAATTTCTTCTGTGGAATTTTATTCCAACGATATCAAAGAACTGCCTGTTAAGTGACAACAAGCGATTTTGCAATTAGTAGAGAATTGAGTCAAATGTAATTAGTACTTAATAATTTTAAAGAATAAAGTTGATAAAGAATTTACATTATTCGAACTATTGTCGTCATCTTTGTCGCCATATTTATTACAACGTTTCGGCCGTTGTACGCTCCGGCCTTTTTCAGGTGGTTGGAGTGTCGAACAACCCTTTATTTCGCTCACTAGGGTAGACTGTTCTAGTTTCACGTGCCATGTTTAATGGATGTCAGTTATCAGTTATCTCTTATTAATTCCCCTCTCCAAGTTCTCCGCTGCCTTAACCAGGTATTGAACTAACACTCTTTGGGTCCTGTCACTGGATCTAACCAACGCCTTTATCCACTGTGCCATGTGTCCTCAAGGACACATGGCACAGTAGAACTAGAACAGTCTACCCCAGTGAGCGAAATAAAGGGATCAGTTCGACATTCCAATCACCTGAAGAAGGCCGAAGCGTACAACGGCCGAAACGTTGTAATAAATATGGCGACAAAGATGAGGACAATAGTCTGAATAATGTAAATAGTGTACATAATACCTCATCTCAGAAATATACAGATACTGAAGGACCGAAACGTTGTGATAAATATGGCAACAAAGATGAGGACAATAGTCCGAATAATGTAAATAGTGTACATAATACATCAGCTCAGAAATATAGACAGATTTATGACTCAATCATATAATAATTACTTTTGTAATAATATTTGTGAAAGAAATGAAAAAATTATGGAAGATGAAAGTCGTTCCGGTTGTTATCAGAGCACTGGGAAGTGTTCCGAAAAGGCAACGAAATAAATTCCAGAGGACGACAGACGCATCGGAGAATTGATTTGAGATGATTCAGATGACAGAGCTGCTAAAATCAGGAAGAATACTGAGGAGAGTTCTGTAGTATTGAATAGGCTTGTTGTCACTTGGACACCAGTGATAACTACCAATTACTTCTGGTTTGAAATCCGAAATGAAAAAAAATAATTTAGGATAGTTTCTACTTTCTATATAGTCGCTTGTTTTTATTTAAATAAAGATTTAAAAACAAATCAAAAAGGAAACATTTTAAAAAAAATAATTTTTCATTGCAAGCAAATAATTGTTAACAACATAGTTTAAAATCAGTGAAATTTTAAATTAGTAGACAACCATGAAAGTTTTAAATATACTTACCAAAAAGTGTAACAGAACTACCACAGCGTATGTAAGCAAATACTTTCGCAATAAAAATTACGTCCTGTAAAAAAAATGACTTTTTCTTTTTTTCTTCTTTCTGTCAACGAACACAGAAACATCGACACGCTACTGACGGCTGTTATTTAAATGGAAAAAAAGTAGCTGGTGACTAGAAAATTGCATAAAAAAAGACTCTTTTGTCTTTTTGCAATATTTTTTAAATAAAAGAACAACGCAAAAACAGGTCGTTTCGTTGCGTACTGCTGACAGTCGTACGGTTGAAATGCAAAGTATGAAGTTGTTGCACAGACGACGAATTTGGCCGACTGCTACTTAACGCCGATTTGTCATCAGGAGAGTTTTCAATGAACAAAAATCCAACCATCTACCATCCCTTGGCCACGCCATGAAACGCTACCATGCTAACATTTTGACGCAAGTTCCTTTAAATTTAACTTTTCCTTTACGTACACACCCACTCTGTTTGTCTGTCTGTCGGTCTTTCTCCCTCCCTCAAGGTCTTTTTTCCGTACTGGGGAAATCCTGAGAAAAACTAAACATTTTCTTTTATAGCAACTCTCATTACTACCCGAAGGAATTTTTTAATTTAAACGTTATTTTTTTTTTTTAAATACTGTAATTATGTGATAATTCTTTTTCAAGTAAACAAGTAATTCTTTTCATTTACTTATGTAATTTACTTATGTAATTTATCCATTTTTAGAATTTGGGAAATTATAGTTTTCTGTGCATTTTCTACCGAAAAATTATGAACGTAATTAAAAAACGAATGAACTGCTTTATATTTGAATGTTTTTTTTCGTCGTAAAATGAGTTTTTTTTTTAGCAAATTTCTGGTAATACACACTTCGAGGGCATATCAATAAATCCGTTGATTGACACGGACTTAGCGACAGAAATTTTATTTTATTTTTTTACCTGGTATAATGCCTGATCATTTTGAAGAATAAGTGCATTGACAAGAAATGGTTTTGAAAAGAATGTTTGTTGCATAAAATAAATGAATGTACATACAATGGTAGATGAAGTACCACTAAAATGGATGTATTTTTCCCGAAATGAAAGCAAAAAATGGCTCATCTGTTTTTATAAATTTGTAAAAATCACGGAATTTTCCGATTTAAACGAAATTTTCAGTAGTTATTTAATAATGAATGAATTATATACAAAACTATGGATTATTTTATTAGAAAATTTGTGGAAATATTTTTTAAGGTTAGTTTCACCCGCCTCTCGTGTACCTTTTAATTGAGGGCCGATTTTTTTACTTTTTTATGAGCGGGGGTCGATATTTTTAATTGGGGAGGGATGATATTTTTAATTTTTTTTTTTTTTGACTGCGTTATGAAGAAAAATCCTAAAGTTATTTTTTATCCAATATCAAGTAAAGAAGAACATACAGAAAATCCGCCCCCAACCTTCTTAAAAATAATTCAATAAAACTCAAAAAATATTTTTTTGGGGAGTTGGTTAGTTTATAATTTTAAAAAGTTGTATTTCTTTTCAGATTAGGCAAGGAAAAAATTATACAAAATATTTTTTTTTTAAAAATTACTTGCAATTTTTCAATGTTATTTTGAAATTCATCCTGTTTCTGTGAAGACATTTTTTTTTTTTAAAAAAGAAAAAAAAGAAGCAAATCTTCATTTATTAGTCTGTATACAATAGTAAGATATGCTCTAGATTCTTGATCATTAAATATATAGCATCCCTATTCTGTCAGAAATAATAGGTGTGACTTGATTCCAAGCAATGTCATAGGTTGATCCGTCCTCGAATATTGGAAGCCCGGATGTAGCTTGTTAGTGACTGAAGCCGAGATGCCAGGTCAGGATCGATAACATTGCAGATTCTTCTTTTGATTTTGGCCAGAAGTGTCAATAATATGTAATTGACAGACGAATGGTCGACTTATAAATGTGCAAATTTAGATTCTGGTGAAATCAAAAATGTCTCGCACTACAAAGTGAACCAACTCTCTTAACAGAAAGCCTTACCGCTACAACACGTTAAAAGTCCTGTCCCCTTACGATCCCCGAAGTTAAGCAGTATCGAGCCTGGTCTGTACCTAGATGGGTGATCGCTTGGGAATACCAAGTGCTGAGAGCTTAGATGTGCGGGTGGTGTAATGGATAATGGTTCAAAATTGTTAATCGTAGAGTCGTTTTCCAATTCCCGTTGGGTTCGTTATATTCACTTACGCGCAAATACCCTTGGGAAAGGTATGAATCCACCTCTTTACCCCCGCTATGGGTTAATTAGTAAGACTTCTATCACTAAAAATAAATTACAATCTAAAAATATTTCCTGGCTTTAAATTGATAAGCCGTAAAAACGAATCAATCAAGCAATAAAAAAAGTTATCGCAACGTTGGACGTCTTTGTTTAAATTTGTTTTATTTGATAAGAATTGTCAGCCAAATAATTTCAATAATTCACAACTTTAAATGTTATAATATTTTTCATAAACATATTTTAGAATTTCGATTTAATTTATTAAAAATGATTAAAAACAAAAAAAACTACTCCATTTTGTTTTTCGTTTTTCAATTTACTTTATAAAAAAAATAATGAAAAACAAGTGGGTTTTATGGAATTATTTTTATATGACCATTTCTTTAGGATTTACTTTATTAAAAAATATTCACTAATTATGGTTTTAATCCTTAATAAATTACTTTTATACGGTTATAAAAATAAAGTTGTTTTTCTGGTGCTGAGTTGTCGCGGTCGTGAGTTGTCTCGACGCTCAGTCGCCGGTGTTGAGTCGACGGTGTTGAGTCGGCTGTGTTAAAATATTTTCTTAACGTTAATGGCATCATATAAAATGATCAACAGATTGATATTTTGAGCCGCAACTTGAAGGCTTCTGCATAGCAACTGAATCCAAAACGTTGTTAGACCTTCATGCATGACAATAATCTTAAACATTATTATCTTATAAATTTACTTGATGTTATACTCCGCATGGAGACACGGTAGAATAATGGATTGAGGAATCGAAGAGCCGAGTTCGAATTCCAGTCGAGTTCATTACATTTACAACAGTAGACAGTAAAAGAAAAATATTTAAGAGTAAAATTGAAATGTTGACTTACCTAAAAAACAACGCAGTGAATATTAAATAATTTAGGGAGCGATCCGCAAATATTGTTTAAAATAGTAAAGATAACAGTAGAGCCAGTATTTATCAGAGCACCGGGAACAGATTTCAGAACAGGCGACAAAATAAATGTATCTCACAAACAGACGATTCGGAGAAGGGAGACGATTCAGACGACAGAGATGCTAAATTCAGCAAGAATACTGAGGAGAGTCCTGCAGAATTGAGCGGACTTGCTGTCACTTGGCACTATTGATAATTTAGGTACTTCAAAGCCTGCACTGTTCCCGTCCCTAAAATTGAATCTAAAAAAGAAAAACTTAATAATTGCAGTATGTCTCTCACTGGAAAAGAAAAAAAAATGATTTAAAAAAAAAAAAAAAAAAATGAAAAGAAAATATTTAGTGAAAAAGAAAATTAAAAATTTTGAAAATGTGACGATAATGGTCGGTCAGTTAAATACATCTTTTGACATATTAAAAAATTATTTTAAAAATAGAAACGCCTTGCATATTGTAATAAGCTTTCAAATTTAAAATCAGTACAAATAGATCTTTTTAATAAAAGCATTTCCAGAGATACACATATTCAAACTTAATTTTAAAATATTTAACAACTTTATCACATTTTGTTTTTAAAAATTAAACAAAGAAAACAATTATTGTAAAAATTCATTTTTCATCGAAAAAATATTTTGGCTTCAGTCAATAATGTCTTTAATATGTATTATTCATAAAAGCCATTAAAAAGCAATATTTAAATGTATTATTCATAAAAGCCATTAAAAAGTTTTTTACTTAAATCATGTTTTAGTTTTATTGTGTTTTGTATCTTACAATTCAGCACTAAAGTTTTGGCAGAAACGTTCCTCGATTTACAAAAAGAAAATCGATGATTTCTATTCTTCAAAGTTTTCTGCATTTTATTAAAACATTACAAAAATACACATATTTGAGTTTTCATAAGCGGGGTGGGTGGGTAACAGATGTAAAAAATGTTTTTACCATGACTTTCTAAAAAACAAACATTTCTAAAATAATTTAATTCGTTTTGAATAAGTTCTGAAACTTTCATTAAAATCCGACAATTATTTGATGTTTGCAAAAATTTCCAAATTAATGTGTTTTTCAACTAAAAAAAAAAGCGCTAAAAAGTCTAATGCTAAATATTACGCGACCTCTGACCTCAAAAAACAAAAACAAAAAAACAAAAAAAAAACACAAGATTTTCATCCGAAATTTCAAACGTGCTACAAAGGAATAAAAGATTTTAAAAAATAATTAAAAAGAAATACTTTCGTCTTTCCTCTTATTAATAACATAAACTTTTTCACGATAAAACTTTGTTTTTATTAAGTTTGGGGCCTTTTTTCATTATGCTATGCTGTTTTTTCGGCGAATTATTGAACATATCTAAGCGTGACAAAATAAACTTGATATTTACACTACGTAGAGGTACCAAAAATTTGATTTTATAAGCATCGCTTAGATGTGGCACAAGACCGTAAGTACGGGGCACCCAGTGAGGATCGAACTCACTACTCGGTCGTAATTGTTTAGAGGGACAAGCCCAGGAAACAGTAATAATATTACTGACTGTAATATGATTTTCCAATCAGATATTTTCAATAATTGTTGACAATATTTTTAACATTATTCAGTATTTATGAAAAAAAAAAGTGAAATTTTAAATTAGTAGACAACCGTGAAAGTTTGAAATGTACTTACCAAAAAGTGTAACAGAACTACCACAGCGTATGTAAGCAAATACTTTCGCAACAAAAATTACGTCCTGTAAAAAAAAAAAAAATGACTTTTTCTTTTTTTCTTCTTTCTGTCAACGAACACAGAAACATCGACACGCTATTGACGGCTGTTATTTAAATGGAAAAAATAACTAAATGTCTAGAAAATTACATAAAAGTCTTCTTTTTTGTTGATGATTTTTTTACAGGATAAATGAAAAGGCGTATCAGTTCTAAATCGTTCGGTTGAAATGCAAAATATAAAGTTGATGCACAGACGACGTTGTTGACCGCCTGCCCAGCAATGTCAATTATTATATCTGTCATCGAGAGGATTTTCATATTATCAGGTCCCACCCCGACCATACCCGGTGCTACCCGAGAAAACGCCATCACCTCTTGACGCGAGGTTTTCTATTTAAATCCTTTGTAATGTTCCTCAGTCTTTATTCTTACTCTTTTTTATTTTTCATTCTCTCACTTTCTCTCTCGCTCTTTCTCTATTCCTCTTTCTCTTATTCTCACTCTCTCGCTCTTTCAGGCAAACACAGCCTTACTGATTCTTTCTTTCTTTCTTTCTTTCTTTCTTTCTTTATTTCTTTCTTTCTTTCTTTCTTTCTTTCTCTCTCTCTCTCTCTCTCTCTCTCTCAGACAACCACCCATACTGACTCTTTCTCTCTCTGTCTTTCTCGCACTCTCTCTTTCAGGCAAACACACTCCTACTTATTCTCTTTCTCTCTCTCTCTCTCTCTCTCAGACAACCACCCCTACTGATTCTTTCTCTCTCTCTTTCAAATAACCACCCCCTACTGATTCTCTCTCTCTTTCAGACAACCACCCCTAATGATTCTCTCTCTCTCTCTGTCTCTCTCTCTCTTTCAGACAACCACCCCTAATGATTAATGATTCTCTCTCCCTCTCTCTCTCTCTTTCAGACAACCACCTATTCTGATTCTTTCTCTGCATTCATTCTTTGTGTCCCTCTTCCTCCCTCAAAGATTTTTTTCCGTCCTGGAACTAAACATTTCTTTCGATTACCAAGTCACATTATTATCTGAAGAATTAAAATTATATAAGTACATATATAAATATAATAATATAGACAATTCTGACACCCCTCTTCCTCCCACCAAACGAAAAAAAATGTAAGAATGCTGGAAAAACTAAATAAAAAAATTAATTAAATTTTCCTTGTCTGTCATATTCAACGAAACATTTAAAAGAAAGGTTACTGCCCAAATATACATTATATATATATATATATATATATATATATATATATATATATATTATATATATATATATATATATATAAAATAATCCTCTTTCATGACAACAAATGACTATTATGCAGTTTTATCAATTTTAAGAACTTTGGAATTGTCATTTTTCGGTACATTGTACAGATAAAATATTAACAAAAATTAACTTTTGATATTTGAACAATCCTTTTCCCTAAAAGGTGCTACGTAATACATTTCAAACAACAGAGGTAGATCAATAAAACCGTAATCTGTCACATACTTTTCAGCAGAATTTGTGTCTGAAATGTTTCCTGTATAATACTCGAGTAATGATATTTTAAAACCGTACAATTCTTTTCAATTTTTATTGTTCTTTTAGTAAGCTTAGTTTTAGTTTTACCTTAGTTTTGACACAAGCCCACAAGTCGAGGCACCTAGTGAGTAACGAACTTAACACTCAGTATCTGTCTATATTTCTGAGATGAGGTATTATGTACACTATTTACATTATTCGGACTATTGTCCTCATCTTTGTCGTCATGCTTATTACGCCATATTTATTACGACGTTTCGGCCGTTGTACGCTCCGGCCTTTATCCACTGTGCCATGTGTCCTTGACACAGTGGATAATGGCGTTAGTTAGATCCAGTGACAGGACCCGAAGAGTGTGAGTTCAATACCTAGTTAAGGCGGTGGAGTACTTGGAGAAGGGAATTAACAGGAGATAACTGACAACTGGCATCCATTAGACATGGCACATGGAACTAGAACAGTCTACCCCAGTGAGCGAAATAAAGCGTTCAGTTCGACATTCCAACTACCTGAAGAAGGCCGGAGCATACAACGGCCGAAACGTTGTGATAAATATGGCGACAAAGATGAGGACAATAGTTCGAATAATGTAAATAGTGTACATAATACCTCATCTCAGAAATATAGACAGTTACTGAAGGGCCGAAACGTTGTAATAAATATGGCGACAAAGATGAGGACAATAGTCCGAATCATGTAA